GACATCCGTCTGTGTCACAGCTCTTGTTCTCTGGGCTATCTACTGAGGGCAGGGATTGCGAGGTCACATGCTATTTCCCTTGCCGTCCTTTAAGCGAGTGCCATACTGTTTCCCACATTGAAACGGCCTTTACTTGGCCCCTCGGTTAATACGTTGGTTTCTCTCCTATCGCCCTGACTGATCATCCTCAGTCTCCTTTGTTGGTTCCTCTTCGTAACCTCCTCCTCTCCACACTGGGATGTGAAGAGAATGGCTGCATCTAAAAGAACTTTGGGGGTGGGGGTGGGGGTGTTGAAAATATACCCAACCAGACAGACACCAAAGAGTTTCTGCGTGTACAACTCAGGGCCCAGATTACAGTTTCAACTTGTGCACCCGTCCTTACCCTTCTTCTGAACCGTCCTTCACCGTTAACTTAAACCCGCTGCCTCCCAGGCGTCCCATCTCACCCTCCAGAGATGCTGTGCATCGTGCTTTAAATCAGCACAGCGCTCACGACAAACATTCGTTTGCTAATGAAACCCAACTGCCATTTGGTTTAAGGAAGGCGTTGGGGTTTGGTTTTGTCTTTGTGTGAAGGTTTAAAGAATATCCAAAGACAAGTGGTTCGGGGGCTTCTCCAGCATCTGCGACTCGAGCAAGTCTGGCTTCCGTGATCACTTGGACCTCTTTTCCACATAAAAGGTCTTCGGATGGTGACAAAGTCAGGGTTCCTAATGCTTCCTGCAGAGGCAAGGTTCCAGGCGGGCTACGGCTGGGGAGGGCAGAAATGAGCACCTACAAGGTGAAGAGACACCCACCCCCAGGCCCAGTACCAGTGAAGGGGAGAAAGGGCGCAGAAAACGCTTTTCCTACTGGAGAGTTTTGTCTGGGTGCCGGTGGCCTTGCACTCACCATGGGCCAGTTGTGGACAGGAGGGTGGGGTGGTGGTGGCTCGTTCTGGGCACCACCCCAAGCACTGTACACACAGGAGCCCTGTTGATTTGCACAACGACTGATGACATATTGATTCTTGTTAGGTGCCGCCCTGTCGGCTCTGCCCATAGTGACCCTCGACGAACAAGGCAGTGTAATTGCCGTGTGTAGGCGATAACATTATGAATTTGAGGTTCCGAAGCTCATGAGATGAATAAATCGTGGAGCTGGAGCTTGCCCTCCAGTTTTCTTGCTAGCAAAACCTGACACACCCCTCTTCTCTCAGAGTTCTTATTTGTAGCAAGCCTTTGGAGGCAAGGCCCTGTGTACATCCTGGTTTGGGGTTTTGTTTCTGCACTGATGTTGCCATTGGTGTTTATTTCCTGCAAAGTCCCCGATGCTGCAGAACCCCACCACCAGACCAACGGGTGTGTAAAAAGCCACAGACGGTGCCTCCCATAGGCCAGACGGGTCTGTACGCCCTGCTCCCTTGCTTACCTAGTAACTACTGTCCAAGGCTCTTTACTATTTTATCCCACCAGGGGGCACACAGGGACCATGGCATAAAGAGAGCCTGTTGCTGCTCAACCAGCAGTGTGCTCTAGCGCTTTGGAGCAGTTAGATTGAGTCTCCTCCTCCCCACCACTGAGAATGTGTGCATTTCCACCCCAGATAGCCGCAACCAGTAAAGATCGCAGGCTATGAAACCCTGTGGGAAGTTCTAGTCTGTGCTGTGGGTTCCCTTTGAGTTTGGAACTGACTCTCCAGCACGCAACAGCGATATCACATTAGAAATGGAAAAAATAAATCACATGACCTCAGGTAGTCAGCAAATATTCATAGCCGTCAAATGTTTTCTTTAGGTATGAGCAATCTACCACCTGCTGTGTTCAGAGAGTGTTGTTGTTGTTTTGGGGAGGAAAGCAGGGTGGGGTGGGAAATAGACAGGAAGGAAGTATCCATTTTTATGACAGCCATGGAGGTACGTCAACCAGGTCTCTCCAGAGACTCTTCTGCATGGAGCACAGAAGGCTGATGGCCTCTAGACCTGACACCTCCAGGACTGACTGGGAGACCAGGAGCCTCTATTTCCACGTGGCTCCTAGCCACTGAAGGCACGAGCTTTTCAGTTATTGTGGTTGCTAGTTCCCTTGGAGTCTGTTCCAGCTCCTGGTGGCCCCAGGAACCACTGAAGAAAACACCCCCCACTCTTGTACCACCATCCCCACGATTGTTGGCACGTTCCAGTCCACTGTTGGGACCACTGCTGTGGTGGTGGTCGTCAGGTGCTATTTCAACCCACAGGAACCCCATGCACAACAGAACGAAACTCTACTTGATCCTTCCCCATCCTCCCACATGTTCTATGCTTTAGCCCATTGTTACAGGACTGTGTCAATCCATCTTGTTTGGGCCGGGTCCGAACTAGACAGCCCTGTTTGGACTAGGCTGAAGCAGGTCTGGGCCCTGCACATGCTTCCTTGCACATCCCAAAGGTCAGTAGCAGACAGCGCCTGATAAGCTAACTGCCAGATCAGATAGCCAGTGAAACCAGGTGTTCCGGGTTTGAAGGAAGCCGCAAGGAGTCCACAAGCAATTCTTAGAGTGTCCAGACCCCATATGCTAATTGCCATAATTACCATACATTCCTCACCACCCCTTTAAAAACCCGAGCCCCTAGCTGCTGAGCATGATTTCCCTGACCTGTTGGCCAAGGTCACAGAACCTCGTCCGGGAGCTCCCCCTAATAAAGCTATTTCTGTTTCTGCTCTC